GGGGGCGGGGGAGTCGGAAAGGGGTAGTGTGGTTGCTCCCCGGGGCTATGTCCGGGGCAGGGCATCCATCGCGCCTGGCGGCCATTCGCTTGCCATCCCAAACACCCCGGACTATTAATTTCCTGACTCACTTCAGGGGGAAAGGGCGGGAAGGAAAACTGGGTGCCCTTTTAGGGAGCGCCGCCGGGGTCGGAAGGCGCAGGCCGTGGCCAAGTAGGGGTCCAAGGTGTCGTTCTACAGGTGCGCTGGAATGCGGGCACCAGCGGCTCATGCGCCAGCCAGCCACTCGGAACATCTCAATGCTCTCGCCAACGCCGATGTCACCCCCAGGGAGACACCACTTGGCGAAGCCGCAGGCTGCCGGATCGCCCCCCTCCCCCCTCCTCTCCAAATGGTGTGGGCCTCACCCCCGATCGTTGTTCGGGCTGAGGGCATGAGGAATCCTTCGTTGGGACTCCTCTCCTGTGGTGTGGGCGCCGGCCCGGGGCGGGCCGACGCGCTATCTCGCCCTCCTGCCCGGGCAGAGGCCAGGGCAGGGCCAATGGGCATGGAGGATGGGGACCCAGGGATGGGACGCCGGCAGGGAGGAGAAACGGCTGACATCGGACAGAGCTCCCCTCCGGATCGTCTCGCCAGCCTTGAACCCGGGCCAAGGGGCGAGGGCCATCGAGTCTCCCGCTGGCGAAGCAGAAGAGGTACTGTCGATGTGCCAGGTGCAGAAGGCACCCCGGCATTGAGATCACCCGCTTCCCTCCACTCCTCCTCGTGCCCGCCTCGCGACTACCTCCCTTGCCACTCTCCCTGCCATTCGCGCTCCCTTGGACACTACCCGATTTGCCTGCTCCCCACACCGAGCGCGACACCATGTCAGCCTTGAAGCGCGCGGCTCGTCGGCTTGGCGTGTCAAGCCAGCGCTACGGCTGTGCGTCCGGCCACTTCCCCTCCCTTTCGCCCGCTCGGGGCCACGGCTCATCCTCGGGGCCGACTATGACCCTGCTGCCCACTCGCCCGTGCTCGCCTCTCGCCCTCTCGCTGCCTCTTCTAACATGCCATCCTGGCCCCATCGCGCCCTCGATGCGCGGAATGCCCCCCGGGTGGGGGAACCGCCGCCCAACTCCAGCCTTTGATGAGGAAAAGCTCTCGCCCGAGGCACTTCTCTCTGGTGAGGGGAAGATCTTTGACATTGCTGTGCGTCCCCCCCCCCCCTCCCCCGCCCCCCGATGCTGCCAAACACCACGGCGACCCTCCCTCTGACGCCTTGAAACTGGCCCGAAATTCCAGCACATCTCGCGCAATGACCAGACCTTCACTCCGGAAATCATGTCGAAAAAGTCGGCCAATGGCCAAGACGTGCTCCCCTCCTTCCAGGTGAGGCTCAGCACCGAGGGTGTTGCCATCATGTCATACGACCTGAATGACGTTAATGTCCGTGCGGACCTTTTCCCCTGGCTGGCTGGGCATGGGGCCCGGCAGTCCCAGTCCCCTCCATTGTAAGACAGCTGACAGGATGCTTGCCTGCTCGCGCTTGCGCACTTTCCTCCCAGGATGGACATCGTGTTGAGCGATCCTTCAGCCTTCGAGTGGTCCATTCATTTGGGCTGCAGCTCCCCCGCACCAAGATGGAGCGGAAGATGGCCCTGCCACGCATCCGCATCAAGTGCCGCGGGTCGGAACTCTGGGAATTCGAGGGTGCCGAGGTTCGTTTGCAGGCACATGTAGACCCCCGACCCGGTGCCGGGTCTCCCGTCGCTGAGTGTCCCCCTTCCCCGCTCCCACCCCCTGCTCACCTGGTTCCCCATCCTCCTCGGGCGTGTTGTCGCCGGGGCGGGGGAGGGCCGCTTGCCCCTCCAGGCCCCGGACATCTACAAGACCCTTCACCTGTGTATTGAGCTTCTCAAGCGGGAGCTAACCCAGAGTGGCGAGATCTTCCAATACCAACCAGCAGTCTCGCTGCGTGACGATGGCCGCTTTGAGGAAGACAACTCCCCGGGCGGGCGCATGCGTCGATCTCGCAGCATGAACAGCTACCGGGCCGGCCCGGCTCCGGGCGGGGCCGACTTCGCCATGGGCCATGATCGCGCCGGGTCGGACATGGCCGGCACCAGCGTCGAGCCAAACACCCCGGAAGCCGGCGCCCGACTGGTGACGGTCCAGCACTCGACCTCGGCGACCCTGGGGCCCGGAAGCCCGGGGGCCCTCCCCCGGAGTGGCAGTCACCCGCATTTGTCGCAGTCTGCCACATGGACCGGGGCCCCGGGGCCCGGCGAGGCCTTCCCAACGTTGGAGCCCCCGCGCCCGGCTTCGGCCGCGTCCGGGGTCGGCTTGCGTCGGTCACACACCCTGCGAGTGGCTGGCGACGCGGCGGGCTTCGGCGCGGCTGCCATGTCCCCCGGCACACCGCCGCCCTCTTCGGGGATGATTCGCAGTGGTAGCGCACACTTCCCGGCGGCCGTGGCCGGGGCGCCGCATGCGCCGTCGCCCGTCCATCCGGTCTCAATGGAACTAACCCCCTGGGCACAGGCCATGCCGGCTACTCCGGTGGCCGCCGCACCAGCCCAGGCCATCCAGCCATGCCCGGGCATCCCGGCGGCCTTCGGCCAGGTGACCACCGCGCCGACGTCACCGCGGCGCGAGCTTTGGGAAGAGGTCTTCCAGGAGGTGACCAGTGTCCCGACAGCGGCAGGCCCGGTCCCGGCGGCTGCTGGCCTCGGGCACCCGGGCGCCGGGCCGGCAACTGACGGAGCCCCGGGCGGCCGGCGAGCCGGCATTCAGCCAACTGCCACCCCTACTTCGTTGCAATCCGCCACCGGGGTCCCGGCCACCGGGTATGTCCTGCCGGCGGGGCTTTGCCATGCTGCGCCGGATCCCTTCGCCAGCATGCCAGTTGCCGGTGCGGGGGCGCCAGCCGCCAGCAGCACGGCCTCCCGGCTCCGGCCCGACGCCTTTCCCGTGGGCCCAGGCTTGACTGTTCCCGTGGTCCAGGCGCCGGTGTTGATGCACCAGCCGCAATATCTGCCACCCTCGGCCACGGGGGGGGCAATGCAACCGCCTCGGCACTTCGGCGGGGCGCCTGCCGGGGGAGGAGATCCCTTTGCCGCTGCTTGGTCCGGGCCGGCCGAGCCGCCGTGTCAAACCTCCGACCCTTTCCTCGTGACGCCGGCTCAGCCGCCCGCCCAGTCGGGAGGCGTCAGTGCATCGGCAAATTGGTGGGACTGACCAATTCCATGGGCATCCACCCGGCCGGGAATTGGCCGCCCGAGAGTGTGTGTGTGTGTGTGTGTGTGTGTCTGTGTGCGTGTGTGTCCATGGCCACGAGTGTTTTCGGTGCCCCGCGGCCGCTCCTTTGTCAGGGCGCATCAAAGAGGGTTGCTTGGGCAGGTGTGGGCTACACAGGCATAAGGGAGACAAGCGACAATCCAAGGCAGAACGCCTACTGTGGAAAAAAAAGGCTGTTCCCTTGTACAAACACACACACACACACACACACACACAAGGCCTTGTCGCGCACCTTCCCTTTCCCGGGAAATAGAAAATCACCGCCCCCAACACATTGTGGGCGAGGAGTTCCTCGTATGATCATGCTCCAAAAATATACGTGACACGATTTTGGACGCGTGATTGGGGAGCCGACTGCTCTTAACGGAGCCAGGGCACCCTGCGCCCCGACCGAGCCGCGAGGGCCCACCGACCCGCACAAAAGTGGAGATCTCTCGGGGGGAGGGGGGGGGCGGGGGCGTTTAGACTCCAGCTGATGGGCCGCAGGGGCCGGCGACCGGCGGGAGATGAAGTGCCGGCGTGCCGGGCGGGCGCCTCTGTCCCAGCCTGGCAGCTCTCTCGGCGGGGGGGGGGGGGAGGGGGCGGGACTCCTCCAAGGCCCTGACCCGTGGGAGGAGGCCTGCGCCTTGCGCCTCGGCGCCGCCCACGCACGACACCCTCGCCCAGGCCCCAACCGGAGTGATGACTCGGCAAAGCGTCTGTGTCTCCGGCGGAAACCCCCCGGGGGGGGGGGGCGACGCGCGCCGCGCACATTTTCACGTCCCGCTCTTCCCGGGCACCGTCCCCCGCGCCCGGGTGTCCTCGGGCTGATGCCCACCCTGCGGCCGCCCCCCCCCCCCCCCCCGGGGGGGGGCAGGACAGGCGCGCCGTCACCCACCAGCTTTCCCCCTGGGCTCGCGGACCCTCGGGGAAAAATCGAAAAAAAGGCACCCATCCGGCGGCAAAGGCCATGGCTGCTCCAACTTTCCCGGCCTGCATCCAACCCCACCTCAACACGTGTGGCCGAGCCGGCCAGACGGCCAGGGCGGGAAAAGGCCCCGCCGGGGCCCGAATCCCCCCGCCGACCGGTGTATACGCGCGGCTTTGGGGTTGAGGCGCCCCGATCGCCCCCCTCCGGGGCACGGGCAATGGGGGGGGGGGGCCTCCTACCATGCACCCGAGTGTGCGTGTGTGCATATGTTGTGCGCGAGCGCGTGCGTGTGTGTATTCCCGGAGGAGGCAGGGGGTCCCAAGGTCGCGAAATACAGGCAGAGGGCAGAAAAATGGGCGTGCCTCGCAGGGGAGGTGCTTCGCGCGCGGGCGCGCGCCGGCCTGGTGCCATCGGACGATCTCGCATACGGGAGGAAGGGGGTCAGTCGTGCCTTTTCGCGGTCCCCCCACCCCCACGCCCGACGGCGGGGACACGCCCGACGGCGTGCGGGTGAGGCCAAAAATCTCAAACTTGAATGTTCGGCGGAATATATAATCCTTGAATATGGTGCCCATGCCGAGGAGCGCACTCTCTCCTTTTTTTTCTCTCTCTCTCTCTCTCTCTCTCTCTCTCTCTTGCTCTCTGCCTCAGTGCGAAACACCAAAGGCCGGGTCCCATGCATGTTCCTGCTCATTTGCCCGTGCCCGCGCCCCCACCGGCCGACCTTGCCGCGTGTGCCTCCGGCGGTGGCCCCCCTTTTTTCGGGCCCGAGTGGGGTAGGTGTTTCCTTCGCCCCTTGGCGCACGCCACCCTGCCCCCCCCCCTCCCCCCTCCCCCCCCCCGCCCGCCGCCCCCCCCTGCCGTGCTCCCCGGCCCCGCCCGTGTGGGGGGGGGCCCCCCTGGGGCCCCCCCCCCCGGCCCCCCCCCCCCCCGGGGCGCGGGGGTGGGGGGGGGGGGGGGGGGGGGGTCTGTGCGCGTGGCGTCTAGTCACCGGTTGGGGTCTCTCCCCCTCTCTCTCTCTCTCTCTCGCTCTCTGTCCATCGTCGTCCCTCCCCTCCACTCGCCCTTCCCGTTTTCTTTCGGCCAGTGTGGGTGTGGGTGTGCGCGCGTGCATGCGCCCGGGGCAGCAGGAACCCTGGCAATATTTATGTGCCCTCCCTTGCGACTTGCGATCATGCTCGCCTCCGACCGGCACACACGCCTCTCCGGCGCGTTTTCCCGGCCGCCCGGCTCGCTTCTTTCGTCGGCGGCCAGGCAGTCGACGCCGTCCGGTGTGGGCCCAGCACCAGGGCGCGCAATTGGTCTGGCACCTTCCCTAGCGCGCCAGTCTGGTGCCAGCTGACGCCGTAAATCGTCCACGGTGGCCCGCCTCTCCGGTGTCGCCCGCAAATTCGCACACCGGCGACCGGCAGTTGGGCCTAGGAGGCGGCAGCCGCGCCACCGGGCATCTGCCCCCCTCCCCCCCCCCAGGGGGGGTTCCGCTGGCAGGATGCGTTTATCGTTGAAGGGCGTGTCTCCGTCGTCGGGACCAGGTCCCCTCGTCCGTCGGCCCAGCCGGGATTTTACCCCCTCACGCCAGGCCGGTGATGGGGTGGGCCGGGGCGGCGGGGGGGGGGGGGCAAGTATCGCGGTCACCCAGCCGACCCTATCCGCTCGCCCACGGAGAACACGGACTTACCCACCCTCCCACACCGGGCAACTGGGGGG